TTGAACCCCTTGCGTTCCCAGCATGAAGCCATGTTAGCTGTGGTGCATGGTCTCCTTAAATTTATGCCTTAAAATGTGCCCCTATATTTGGTTTGTGAGTATTTTACACACAATTTTTGCCTCTGTGTCATCAGGGAAATTGAACTACAGTTTTGTTTGGTTGGTTTTTGTTTTCTATGTGTCCCTATCCAGTTTTGTTACTGGGTGATGCTAGCTTCCTAGGATGGATTTAGTGGTGTTCCTTCCCCTTCTGGTTTCTGAAGTCTTTGAGGGGCACTGGTATCCACTGATTTTTAAAAGTCTGATAGGACATGGCCCTGAATCCAATTGTTCTTGAACCTTTTTTGCCCGGAGTCTCTACCAAAGCAGCAAACATGCTGCTTGTCACTGATCTGTTTAAGTTATCCACGTCCTCTTGAACCTGTCTTGGTTATGAAAAGTGTACTTTTAACTTCATTTGTCCAGAAATTTTTAAATTCCCTCCTTCTTTTCTTCAATGACCAATTGGTCATTTCGGAGCATACTGTGTGAGCTCCATGTAATTGTATAGTTCCTTGGCTTCTCTTATTACTGATTTCAGTTTCATTCCATTACAGTCTGATAAGATATGAGAAGTTATTTCAGTCTTTTGTACTTAAGACTTCCTCTGTTGTCTAAAACATGATCTGTTTTAGAGTGAATTGCGTGGGCAGCCAAGAGGAATGTATGTTCTGCAGCTGTTAATGTCTGCTAAGCCCTGTTAGCTATGATGCAAATTAACTAGGAAAATCCTTGTTAATCTTTTAGTCTGGGTGAAGTATTCATTCTTGAAAATGGAGTATTGAGCTTTCTTTCAAGGCCTGTCATCTTCCCTCTGTGTCCATTCATGTTTGTCTTATAAAATAGGGAGGCCTAAACTTTGGTACCTAGAAACATTATAAATATTAAAATTGTCATTCAATCTTGAGGAATTGTTCCCTTTATTAATTGACAGTGGCCTTTTGTCCCTGGCCAGTTTTTACTTGAAGTCTACATTGTCAGGTATGAGAGTCACTGTGCCACCTTGCTGTCAGCATCACTTTGCTTGTAGTTTAGGTTTGGTTGCAGTCTGTGGGTCTCTGTGCCAGTGGATATGGTTTTAGGAGACAAGTAGCTGGATCATGGTTTTCAATTTGTCAGCTAGTCTCTACTACCCTGGAGAGCCGAATCCATTTGCATTCATAGTTATTATTAAGAATAATTTTAAGAATAATTTTTTGAGTTCTTATTCTTGTAATGTTTGTTGCTTGGTTTTAGTTGGATTCTGGTTGGCTTATTTGTTGTTTTCTTTATTGCCTAATCATGTTAGGGCTTTGCTGATTTACTGTGTTGGACACACAAATTCTTTCTTAGTTCATCATCCGCTCATATCCCACTCTGGAAGTATATTCTTTTCTTCCTCCTCTGTGCTTAGGGTTCCTGGGTGTCTTCAGCATTGCTGACTTGGTTCGTGTTCATACTGATGTGTCTTTATATTTCCGAGAATATTAAAAGACAACTTTGTTCATCCCTGTTACTGGCTTGCCTCGCCAGGCCATGGGTTGATTCCCTGCTTTGTTGTATGTCTGCTTACTTTATATCCCCTTTGAACTCATTGGTTCTTTGTATAAGTAACTTCTGAATTCTTTGTCTGGCATTTTAACTAGCTCTATGTCTTCACACTTGTGTTTCTGCATTGTAACTTGAATGTCTGTTGGTTTGGGTCTCTTTCCTGGTTCCCCAGGGATCCTCTCAGTGACTGACCTTCTCTAGTGCTTCCTCTTTGGAACCAGTGAGAGAGAAAGAACTGCTGCTGTGACAGCAGTAAGAATCAGCCAAACAAGATAGAGAAATGCACATAAAACTGATGAGAGCCCATGGACGTACCGCCAAGCTGGGGGAGAAAAGTATGCCCAAAGGAAAAAAGAGTGTGTGCTTTGACATTTAGAATTGTGTATGGTGAATTCGGAAGTAGTAAAAGAACGAGAGAAAAGAGAGGGGGCAGGGTAGTGGGAAATCAAGTTAAATAAAGAGTGGGAGAGGATGAAAGAGCAAGAGATCAAAATAATAACTCATGATTGTCAGATAATGAAAAATCATAAACAGAATTTGTTAATACATATAAAGTCAAAATGCTACAAAGAACATAGTAGAAGTGAAGGCCTGTATCAAAAAAGGCTGCCTAATAATAGAAAAATTAGATAAATGTAAGAAGTAAAATTAGATAAATGTAAGAAGGGGAATAAAATATATGAAACCTGTATATACATATGTGTGTGCAACAACAATTAGTGAGGCAAAGAGGCCGTGGATTTGAAAGAGAGCAAGGAGGGGTATATGGGAGGGACGAGGGAAATGATGTGACCATATTATAATCTCAAAAGCCCAAAGAAATCATTTGAAAATAAGATCAAGTAAAAAACACAACTAAAGTAAAATTAAAAGAAAAGTGAGGCGAACAGAAGGCATCAGAAGAAAAAGTATAAATAACCAGAACAACCCCTGAGCCTTCAAACCTCGAGTCTTCCGTTGGAAAAAACTGAGTTTCCCTTTGCCAGTGGGAGTCAATTGCAGATAGCTTCTAGGTTAGGAGTGAGAGAGTCACTTAGCAAATTGTCCGATTAGCAAGTGACCTACTGCACTCGATCTCTAGAAGATCCATGGGTTTAGCCATATTCCTATCTGCATTGTACAGATGGGGAATGGGGCTCAGGGAGACTGTAACACTAGTCAGTGAGCCTCCTGTGCCCAACACAGCACTCAAAATCAATTTCGCCTCAGCCTCTCTTCCTCCTTCAAACTGCAACCCCAGCCACCTCTTCCAGCAAACCTGAACAGATGAGTTCCTTCCCCTGCGTGCACAAAAGAGCCCTGATGGGGTGTTTTCCAGTGAGGTCCCAGTAGGTTGGGGACTTGTGCAGTCCAAGAACAATGATGCACGTCCTTGCCTTTTATCACGTTAGCTAAGTCAGAGTAGATGCCTGGCAGTGCCTCTGCTGAGCCCTGGGGAGTGGCCCATCCTGGGAGAAGGTGACTTTCTGCCCCCACAGTGCAGGCACCTCCCTACTTTTTTCCTAGGCCTGGACTTTTAAATCCCCCCTACCCCGTATCACTTATGGCTTAGGAGATAGTCTTATCTCTCCTCTGCTACCCAAGGGCTCTTCTAGCTGCAGTTCTCATGACCTAACTAACCATGAAGCAAGGCGGGAGGATTGATCTGATGGGATCAATCTGTGTAAGCCCCAGGAAACCCACACGACTCTCCAGCAGTTCTTGCAGCATAGGAAGGTCAGGTTACAGAGAAGCACAGGCCGGCCCAAGCTGCCTCCAGACCCTGGAAGGAAAGCAAAATTCAGCAGCCAGGAAAAAAACCTGGGTCCCGGAACATGGGCGACAGCGCCTCGAGACACCACTAGAGGGAGCTACAAACCAGAGAACCCAGGCTCTCCTAGGCGAGGCGCTTCCCGCAGAGGTCAGCCTTTCCACCAGAACGCTTTCCCAGCGGCTGAGGTTGCTGCAGCCTTAAGAGGCCAGCCAAGGATTGCCGTCAGAGCATCATCCCCAGAGGCAGCGAGGAGACAGGAAACCTACATCCTGCCTGACGATGTTCAGCCTGGGTTGCATCCCCTGGTCCTGCCAGCGGGCTCATCCCATGGGAGGCCGGGGTAGGACCAAAGGCAGGGCGCCCACGGGGTGAGAAGAAGGGCCCGCAACCCCAGTGCTCCCTCCAGTCGCTGAAGAAGGAGGCCCCCAGGATCAGGCAGAGAAGCCTGCTGTCCAGGTTCAGGTGAGCAAAGATGAGGTTCAGGTGAGCCAGGACTCTCGCACCCACAGCAGGACTCTCACCCAGCAGCGACCCTGTGCGGGGTGAGTGGGCAGCCGGGTCTGCAAAAATTTCCAGACCATGGGCTGTGAGTTTATACTTTAAAGATGGACTTAAAAGCCCCTCCTAGGCCACATTAAATTTCTGTATGGCTCGGAGCACCACGATTCCACAGTGAGACCCTCCCCCGGGTGCTTTGGGGTGTCAGGTAAATGTGTTCGGTTCACAGTCCAATGCCAGCTGTTATTAATGCTTGCAGGCAGAGTGATGTAGGCCACAGGGTCACTGGCCTGAGTCCAGGGCAACCCGATTTGTTGAGAGCATGGTGTGGAGCCATGGCTAGAGCTGAGTCATGTTCAGGGAGGCAGCCAGCTCACTCTCTAGGCAGGCCCCAGCTGTACTTGGCTTGGCTGGGTGTGGCCTGCTCTTAACCTGGCTTAGAAAGGTGGGTTAGGGGGAAGGTGAGGTGGAGGGTATAGAGCAGTTTCTTCCTCTCTTTCACGGAGATGGCCCCTCTCTACAGCATCCCCACAGTAGCATAGGGGTTTCGGAGCCCCCAGCCCTGCCCTGTTATGGTCTCCCAGGGTCTATTCCAGCACCCATTTCTCTCCTCTGCCAGCCCTCTCTGTTCTTGTGGAAAGCAGCCCTGCCCAGTTCCCTGAGAGACCATCAGGGTTTAGCCAATCAGCATGTCCCACTGGTTTGGATCTAATCTCGGGGGGGGGGTTGGTAAGTGGCCCCAAAACAAGCCCAGAGGGAAAAGGGTTTTAACAGTGGTTAGGAGAGGCCCCTTGGTCCTTCTGAGACTGGAAAATCTACTCTTTCCTCCTGCTGGGTGGAAGAGGAGCAATATTAGCCCCTGAAGCTGATCCCACCCAAAGGGGAGAGTGGGAGGGAGAGGAAGGAAGGGGGAAGAGACCCCAGAAGCAAACAGAAGGGGAAAGAAAACTGGACTTGTGTCAACCTGCTGGATCCAGCCACGCCTGCCACTCAGGTTATGATATGTCTCCAACACATGAATTCAACTTTAACTTTAAGCCTTTTGTTTTTCCTTTTTTTTTTTTTAAATAGGGACTCATGTAGTCCAGCTGAGCTTGCTTTGTAGCTGAGGGTAACCTTGAACTTATGATCCTCTGCTCCCATCTCCTGAGTGCTGGGATCACAGACATACACCACCCCTGGCTTTGTGTCCTACTAAAGACTGGACCCAGAACTTTAATTCTACAACGGGTTTGGGGGTGCCCCAACCATCAGTGTCCCCGCCACCACTTCAGTCCACCTATGTTTCCAAGCCTGAGTGCTTCTAGGACAGAAGGGAGATGTCACTCCCGACACATCAGGGTCTCTGAGGTTAGTACCAGCTCCATGGTCTTAATTTTCTAGCCCCAACTGTCTCTATCCTAACCTTGAAGGCTCCTGGCTCAGCTGTGAACTCTGGGCTGTCTGTACTCCTGGGCCCAAGGTCATGCTGGCATCTTCTTGGGCCTAGGCCCTTGCAGATTTAGTGCTTACCCACGGTTTCCTCCTCTCAGCAATCCCAATGACAGTCTATGTCTCCATTCCAGGTGCTTTCCCCTGGAGACTGGTCAGTGACAGGAACTGTGCCCAAATGCTAAAATGTGATCCAGAAGCACTTTGACACAGCAAGACCCACAGGATGCTGGCCACTAGTCCAGAGCCCCAGGCTTCCGTTGCCTGTGGCATCGAGATGAACTGACGACAGCCCACATCCCTACCTCCCCCACAGTTCTGCTTCTCACAGCCCAGGCTGGAAAGATCCACCAGGGCTCACTTTGTAACCTCAGGCCTGCTACAAGCTCAGCTTGTAGAGGCCAGCAGAGTAGAGACAAGGCGAGTAGGAGAACACGCTGGGCTTGTCCTCCCATCTGGATACAGCAGATCTACTAAGACAGGTGACACTGTGCCTGTCACCTCAGATCCCAGCTTTGCTTTAGGTCACTTGGGGCTGCTGTGTGAGTGATGTGGATGGCTGCAGAAAAGCCACTTGGCTAGTTATAACCAAGTTTGCTTGTTTGTTTGTTTGTTTTTTATCAGTTTTCCACAATTGTAAATGATGTTGTAATGATGGGCAAATTTCCAAAGTAGAGGAGAAAAGTGGCACCTTGAGGATATGACATGACTTTCCTGGGCTCTACCCCTGCACCTAGATCATAAGCCCCAGTGTGTGAACCAGAAGTCACCCCACATGTGTTCCCTTAGGTCCATGGCTCCTTGTAAAAATCAAATCTAGCAGCTAGAGCTCTTGGCTCACAAAGCCCTTGCTTCTGCTGACGCATCTGGCATCTGTTCCCTCTGAGAGGCAGTTGTCACTGCTTGTCCCATTTTACAGATTTGAGGAACTGATACAGTGACTTCCCCAAGTTTGCTCTCAGATCCCCAAGGTACTGGCTCCACAGAGATACATGTCCCTCGCAGCAGCTTCATGTTGGAAATCCAGGCAAACGCCTGGAAAGGGCATTCTAAATATATTTCTTTACTATAGATGCTGATCGCCTGCTACTGAAACCAGGAATTAGCTTGTCTGCCTGAGGATGTGGCTGCTGCCTTCGAGAGAAGATACAGGAGAAATCTGCAGATTGCCAGCTTAGAGATGCTGCCGACGGCTTCCAGCAAAAGAAGAACTTTCGCTGCCAGATACTTCAGTAAGAATTTGGCTCTGTGTGGGGAATGATTTTTGTGTTTGACTTCTTGCTTGAGGGTGGGGTTGTTTGGGGCCACTGAAAGGGCCTCTTTGGTTTTTCTGGGCTGTGGGAACCACACAGAATATGGTCAGGGCTCAATCTTCCTTCAGCTCCCGGCACTGGCTGGTAACCCAGCACTCAGTCCTGTACCCCAGCATCTGCTCTATGTCTGCCTGAAAAACAGACTCCAACATGACAGCAAGTGTCAGGGGTCCTGGACTCCAGTGGTTGAGGACTCTAATGGCATTTGATTCTGTGAGGACCACCATGTCCATAACCCACTTGGACCCTAGTTGTAGCTTCCACAGGGAGAGCTGTGCATCCTGAGGCTCCCCTGTCTGTGCCAGGAAATAACCCAGCCTAGCAGTGAGCCGAAAGATGTGGGGGATGGTTGAGTAGCCCCAGGGAAGTGCTGGGAAGAAAGCAGTTAGCCACAGTGGGACTATTGCCTGAGTCATGGGCAGATGCTGGTTGGGTGTGCCCTGTAGGTGATGGTCCCTTCAAGAGCTGAGTCTTGTCGGTACTGGGTCACACCAATGTAGATATAGAAGGTTCACGGTCATGCAGGTGCCTAGCCTTGCAGGTGCTGAGCCTTGCAGATACTGAGTCTTGCAGATGCTGAGCCTTCCAGGTGCTGGGTCTTGCAGATGCTGAGCCTTGCAGGTGCTGGGTCATATAGATGATAGGCCCTGAAGGTGCTGGCTAGGTGTACCCCTCAGGTGCTAAGTCTTGCTGGAACTGCCCTACTCAAATATGTGGGCACTGCCTGGACCCCAGGCAGGAAGGAGCTGGGTGTGTTTGTAGCTGGGTGATGTTCTCTGGTAGTATGGACCTGAGAGCTGAATTCCAGAAACAAATGCCATCTGTGGCATCATCGGGGCCTCTGGTCCTGTGTTAGAAGCTGAGGGAGCTCTTCAACTCCCCAACCTCCTCTGGAGATGTCTGCTTAACTGTGTTAGGTGAACCCCAGGCTTCAGCACATTTTTATGTCATTGCCAGCATCAGGGGAAAGTGATGAGCCACAGGGCTTGAATTCCAGCTGTGCTGTTGCCATCCTGATATATGGGATGAGGAGAAAGTTTCCTCTTGCACAGGGGCAGGATTGAGGGGCTGGAAGCCAGGACTGGGCCCTGAGTCTGGGCTATCTAGGTGGAAGCTCCAGTGGAATCAATGCACAGAGATCAGGGGAGAAATCGGGCTGGGGCAGCTGAGGTTACAGTATCTGAAAACCTCCAGGCGTTTTTCCTGCAGCTGGAGTCACAGTGTCATCCTGCTCCAAATGAAAAGCCCTGGCTTTTGTTGCAGGGTCAGCTGCCAGATTTGTCTGATATGATGGATTGTGTCCCACCTGCAGAGGGCATGTGCAGGAAAAAAAGGAGATGTTACATGAGGATTTGATGAATATGATTGTATTGGTTTTTATATTAAAGTAAAATTCACATGGCAGAGAATTAGCAGTTTTGGAGTATAAAATTCACAGGCATGCTGTGTTGCCATAACCTCAGACAAGCTCATAAGTATTGTCATCCCCTCCGGACCAAGCAGTCCCCGAGTACAGCCCTGAGAGCCACCAGTCTGTCTGTCTGCATGGACTTGTTTGGCTGCTGCACAGGTCTGATAAGTGTGTATATGTACCTCTGCGCCAGGCCTATTGCACTCAGCGTGCTGTCATCAGATTCATGTGTGGTATAGCAGGTGCCTATGCTTTCTTCCTTTCAACTGTGCTGGTTTTAAGTAATGATCATCTCAGACTCTTAAGCAACTTTGGGGGAAATGGCAATCTTGTTTCACAGAAGGCCTCAGAAAGGGGAGGCATTAGAGGGGACAGTGGGGACAACTTCTCTCTCCCCATCCATGATCTGGTTTTCCCTCCTTCTCCATCCTCATCCTTCTCCTCCTCCTCCTCCTCCTTCCTCTCCTCCTCCTCCTCCTCCTCCTCCTCCTCCTCCT